AAGGCCTGGCTGACCTCCCACTTCCTCCCCAGCTTCCTCCTTCGCAACTCCCACCGGCCTCCTTAACTTCCAGCAGCCAGGAGTCTGCAGTCGCATGGCTGCACACACCATGAGCCCACCCTGTGTGGCTGCATCCTACTTCACCCACCCCCACAACCAGCTCCAGATCCTCATCCCCTTCAGATGGTTCCTATCACACTCTGCTCAGGCCATCTTCCTAATCACCCAGACTCCCAAAATGAAAACGATGCCAAGTAAGTGTAACAGGCTGAACAATTTCTCAGCTCAAGAGATGTAAAACAAACTCTTTCAGCAGTGAAGACAGACTGCTATACACACAGCTGGTTTGAAACTGAATTTCACCTCTTCATTTTAGAAAGCTGCAGAGAAGTTTCTTTGTATTTGAGGGTAGAGTTGTACTCCTGCAATTGAACTATTGCTAAGGTCCTGCAGCAGCTGCTGATGCAGGAACCCTTCAAGATACCAAGAAGGGAAAAGAGGAAGACATGGAAAGTCATAGAGAGAAATCACAAAAATGTCAGAACAAAGAATGCAAAAGAGCTCTCGAGACACCTGAGAAGAGAAAGTACTGTGGAATAGCTATTATTGCTTAAGAACTTGCAGGGCAACAGTCAGAGGGAAAACCAAACCTCTCAGGTCTTGGAAAGGAAGAAGCTGAGCCATTCCCCAGCAATGCTGGAGGAGAAACTTCTGGGGTGACAGAGAGAGGCCCAAAGCTGCAGCATCTGGGCCCAAACAGACAGACTCAACTAAGCATCCAAGGGAACCTACTGCTCTCGGCCTGCCTGCAGCAGCACTTGAAAACACAAACCTCTGCTTTGGCTGACTGGACACCTGCCTGCTAAAGATGCCAATGGCACAGCCAGCTAAGCCACACAGCAAAATGCACTCATATATTCACCTGAATAAACCAGAGACACTCTGTGGTGTGCACCTGGCACACAGCAGGTCTTCTGACAGTTGCAACCCAATTTCTACATGCTTCTGTCACGCCCCAGCTAGGAGACAGTGGACTGTGAACAGAAGAAGACATGAAAAGGGGGTGACCTATGAGAGACCTCCCAGATGAAGCCATCAGCATCCTGGAAAGATTTTAGAGAGGAGGAACTATTTTATCCTCTTTTGGTAAATGTTCCTGGCAAGGCAGCCCTGCTCCAGCACAGTAAAACAGAAGTAAAAAAACTTGAACTCCCAAATCCATTAGCCTTCCTCATGTGTCAGCTCCATTTCCCCAATGCTCTCCCCAAAGCCTTTGCAGGCACATGATGTCCCCACAAAAACCCACAAGGGCTTGCTCAAGTTCTGTGATGTAATATTAGTTTAGCTAATTTAGCTTCCTCCCCCTGGTGTGCAGTCAGGGTGCTGCTGGTGCATTGTGGCTCAGCTGCAAGTCAGGCAAACACTGGCTGTGGGGAAGGGGTTGTGTCTGCCCAGCCATGGCAGAGGCCAAAAAAGGAAGCCAAGTTGCTGATTATGAACTTCATAAAGGAAACTATCAGAGATGAAAGCCAAACTTGGTTTAGGCTCTGTCCTAAGCTCTCCCCACCCTCTTTTGAGGCTAGGTTATGTTTATATTATATTACTTAGCAACGAAGTGAAGTACACAAGCCCAAATAAGATTTGTAAATACATATGCAACTACACTATAGACATACCAACATACGTCAGTACTGGATAACCAATTATTTACTTCCTATAGCTACATAATTACTGTGAAAGTTTACTTTGAATTGATTCTTGTCAGTTAGCATGTAATAATATCCTTTCTCCTCCAGCCTCTCCATTTCAAGTGGTTCACAAACTAAAAGTAGAATACTTTCCCTAAAAAGACATACAAATGAAAGTCTGCCTGGTCTTCCCCTTCTGGATAGTAATTATCTATTCAATTACATGTCTCCATTCTCTGCACTCTAATGCAGAGAAAACAAGCTTGTCCAGATGAAACAATCTGCAAACATCTCCAAAACCAGGACTATTGATTGCTGTTTCTACAGCTGCAGAATAAATGGCACTGCAGTCTGAAAGTAAAGTAGTAGAAGTTCTTGCTCTATAACAAAGGAATTACAGGAGTTTAAACAACAGCCATATTTTCTTCCTTTATGGCCTTGTATTTCTCATTTTCTGCCACAAAAATAATAAAAGAATCCCTGTGGTCCAGATACTTGTATGGCTTCCTCCTGTTGATCTAAATGACAATTTGCACGTTTGTCCAAGGGCCATAACAGAAGAGATGTTGCTTTCTGCTCTGTAATTCCACTGTAGTCATCATCCACAACAGATCTTGCTAGACTGGAAAGATATATCTGGTGTCTGTTATCATTTTGTCATGATGAATTCCAGGAATAAACTAGGTTGTCATATGTTTTTAATTATATTAAATCTCTATTGCAAAGATATAGAGATTTTAAATGAGATTAAGTCTGCAAGATCCTCAGTTCCTGTAGATGATTCTACCATGTGTGCATCTCATCTTTAAAAAGGAGATGTTTGGCATACTTGCAAAGATATTTATTAACAAAATTATTTTGTGAATTCTTCTTGTACACTTACTAAAAACATAATTGTTCACATTAGAAAGAATGATGCTATGCTTAAGATTATAAAGACGGAGTTATAACTTGTTCTCTGGTCAGGGGATTAGTTTATCTATCATAATCCCTGTCTGAATTAGCCATGCTGACAACTGTCCCTCTTAAGCAACGTGCTTAAGCATTTTTCAAAACTCAGGAACTGGCAAAGTTTAAATTAGCAGCCATCATTAGTTAAAGGAAAATAATTGCAATTAAGTAAGCAGATGCTGTAATACTACTGGCACAAAAGTAGGAGTGGACCCAATAAAATTAATCTTGAGGAAACAAAATGCGAGCCACAAGATGCCTGGCTGTAAATACTGGCAGCAATGTTTCACTAAGGTGACCTTTTTCTTACCCAGTTTCATGCCGTGTCATTTATCTGAATTGCAAGACGAGAAGTGCTTCTATGCTGAGTACAGCCCAAGAAGGACTGATCTATGCCCTAACACGTACGAAATGCTCTGTCAACTGTACTGTTCAATGTTTTAGGCTGCAAATCCCATTATAGGTACAGCTGGATTGATAATAAAACATAAAACTGTGTCAGCATGCATTTTCTCACAAATGCATGGTCTTCAGAACACTATTCCAAAATACAAGTACCTTCTACCTGCAAATCCTCGGTGACAGACTAGGTATTTTGAGATGGTATCAGAGTTTTAAGTAAAGTTATGTTTTCAAAAGACCCAAATGTGACATGCCAAAGATCTATTTATGCTGCTAAGCAATCTCTCTCATAAAAATGCCCCTCCAAAAGCAAACAAGTAATAACTGTATCTCCTGGAAAAATAAGTCATGCATTATTTCTGAAGAACAGAGTAAGAAAGCAAGAAACTGACAACTTCCCTGGTTTAATCTGCACTGCCAAGCTGCCTCCTTGTCACACTGCTTCTGGCAAATTCTGTACACCAGGAATCACTACAGCAAAACCTGTCATATTCATCTAAAGGACCTATACACTAATTGTATGCCATCATATGAAGAGAAGCATCTTTAGCCAATCTAGGGATATAATTCTGCTCCAGAAGCACAAACCTTACATTGTGGGTGACATGAAGTAAGTGTTATGCTTCCATTGTGAAGACAAATGAAGTAGCCAACAGTGAAAGCCACTGTGGTAGTGGTCCTGAGGCAGCATCAGCCAGTCCCTGGCTTGTAACACTGGCTTTGGAGGGTTGCAGTAGGCAGTAAAGTCAGTCTTCACCTACTTCCCCATGTGTATTTAGAATAAGATTTTCTTAGGTCTCAACTAAGCAAATGAAACCATCCAGCTTCAGATAAAGGTCTGAATATCTATCATTAGGTATCATATCATATCAATATCATCCTGTTTAGGTATAGCTGTCACAGACATGTTTGGCCACCTCAGTGGAGGTGAGAAGGGGGAAAGCTGGATTCACATTTCAAGCAAAACAAGTTAAAATCTAATTTTTTGTTGTGATTAAATAATTTTGTGAATTGAAAACATCTGCTTAAGAGCCCCACTGAGATAAAAAGAGGAGGGAGCCCTGCTCATCCCCTCCCTCAGGTCTCTGAGGGCTGCCAGAGGCAGGGCAGAAGACCACTCTCCTCCTCCTGATGACCACACACACAGAGAGCACAAAAGATGAAAACCTTTTTCCCTGTGTCTCAGTGGCAACTAGAGAAAAAATAAATACTTCTCTAACTATGGCTGTCCAGGGTTGGTTTACTGACAGTCATTTAATCTCTGTAAAATCTATGGGTTTAAACAGAAACACCAAATCTCTAGAACAAATTCGTCTTTTCAGGCAAAGCACAGCTGATCCTTGAACAGCGAAAAGACAAGCTCACAGGGCTGTGTAACTGCAGCTGAACAATAAGCTGGCTAAAGGAAAGGTTTATCTCAAGGTATCACTTGTCAAGCTCACAGCTTTGAAGGAGGCAGCTTCACATGAAACGCTGGAGGAACTGGGTGTGCGACTATAACCAGTTCTTAGCCCTAGGGTGGTTTCTACTCTCACCACAGACATGAAGCCTTTGAGACACTAAGGAAACTGCCTTTGGTCCATGGAAAAATTACTAAAGTAGCGAGAGGGAGATAGACTGCCTTAACATGAGTACTAACTTTGTTCTCTGCTGGTAGCAAAGGACAAAAGTTTTTGTAACTGAAAGAAATTCAAACAGAGGGAAAAAAAATGAACAGCAAACAAAAGCAATACTGGTCAGTTCATTTTGGCACACATTAGGCTGCAATTCTGCTGCCAATGTCAATGTATTACATGCTGTGTAGCTATAAATTTCAGTTATGTTTGAATAAACACCAGCATATAGAATCACTTTGGGTCTGCCTAATGCAGTCTGCCTGTGGGCAGGCCCGAATTGCTACATTTCTTCATCTGAATCACCCCAAAATTAAAAGTTCAGTTGCTCTCAAAGTGCACGTACCTGCAATCCCTTGTAGCAGCCCACAGACATTAAAAATGCTTTTCTTCATAATACTCTGCACACACATAGTAAAGACAGATACAAATGCCACGGTGCAGAGAATCATGATTCCCATGGCTAGGAAAATAGCGGTTGCCTGCCAGAACCCACTGGCAATCTCACTGAAGTTTTCAGCATAAGGACCACAAAGCGTGTCTCGTCTGGAGAACTGCATGTGGGGGATCCTGGTGCAGCGCCCGTAGATGCCCAGCGTGGGACGGTAGGGCTCCTGCTGTCCCCCCGTTCTGTTGTCCACCTCCTCCGAGCCTGAAGGCTTCGCTCTGCCAATCAGCCAGTCTGCACTCATGAAGGCAATGAGCTCTGCAAAAGCCACCACGATACTCAGGAGAGTCCATAGCATCGACCGACACGTTACAATGACATGACACATATTGATGTCCAGTGCTTGTGATCAGTGCAGCACACTTAAAATCCAGAGAAAAAATGAAATTAAAAAAGGAAAAGGACCCTAAGACAATCACTGTGGCTGCTCTGCCTACTTTCTCAACTCTCTCACGAAGGCCAAGATGAAGCTTCTCAAGAGAAGAAGTGAACAGCCTCAAGTCTTGCAAGCAGTGCAATCATTTGCTCTCTCTGTTTAGTTCCTCCTTTTTTCTTTCTGGGATGCTGAGCTCTGAAGTATGCGTTTCTTTCTTAACATTCATACTAGCACATGACACTGCAGGCTGGTGGGGAGGCTACAAGGACTGCCCACTGATTGACATCATACACCTACAAGAAAAGAGAAAACACATCAGCAGTGAGAAATAAGTCATTTCCACCCCCACAACAAACCAAGATCTGGCACAGATTCACATCAAAATACAAAGCTCTAACAACGGCTGGTCAAAAAGCCTGCTGGAAACCTCCCTGATTTGTTGCAGGGGAGTAATTAATCTCCCTCCCACTGCTGCCAATACTTACAATATCTGCTGTGCCCTATCCCATGGTGGGTGTTTGTCAAACACTTTGCAAGCAAAGGTCTCAGTAACACCCAGCGGTCCCACCCACTCCTACCACCACACCCCCATCATCTTCTTCTGGTCCAAATTACCAAGGGTGCTGGCAGTCACCCAGCAAAATGTTTGGACATGTTTAAGCAGTTTCACAGATGTGCAGCTCCTGCCTTCACTTTGGGGAGGCAGCACAGCCTGACTTTGGGACAGAGGCTGAGCACAGCCCCACATGCCATGGGCACCCAGGGGCAAGGGGCAATGAAGGAACCTTGTTCCAGCCTTCTGGGTTTCTGCTGACTGCTGCAGTTGAGCCAACCCCGCCTCAAGAAGAGGTGAACAAGATTACAGTTGCAGACAGCTCACCCTGTGATGTGGTGACCCCTTTGAAGCCTGGATTTTGCAAGGAGTGGTGCCTCCCTGGGTCTGGGATCAAGGTTTGCACCAGTGTTTCAGGAAAACAATCCGCCTGCAGATATGTCACACGCCTCATCTTGAACTGCTGCCAGCCCTGGTGACTTATGCCATTGTAAACAGGAATATATGGAAAAGAGCCCCAGTCACTGCCAAGGAGCCAAAAGACCCAGTCAGAGGGGTTGCCAGTCAGACTTGAGCTTCCCCACTCCCCTCAATTCCCCTCCTCCACAGCCCTGTGTATGCTGCGACTGCAGGAAAATGCTCCCCAGGGCTTTCTCCAAGCCATTATACTGCCTTTCAACAGCGCCTGATGACATTCCCAGAGTTACACTTATCTTAGTACAAGAGGCAGAGATCACTATACTTCCAACTCCTATCCAAATATCGGCCTCAAAATAACAAACAGGTCATCCCACACGCCTCTGCTCTTGAACTGAAACAGTGTTGCCTGAAAGCAAGGGTGGGAGCAGGAAATGCCCTCATGTTACCCCCTCCACGATGAGGATGTAGCACTTTGAAGTTTTCTTCACCAAACCCCAAATACTAACATTGAACTGGAGGCAAGGGTAAAGAACATCTGAACCTCACTGCTGTGCTGCTGCAGTCACCAGATGCCAGCAAAACAGGAATCCCCAATATTTTTTTGGGTTTGTCATGGGGTTGGTATTTAATTTCGTAGAAGCTCTGAGTTGGGTGGTTGAATATTAGTCCCGCTGAATGCAAAATGAAACACATACACGCAGCTTCACACATTCAGAATTTCATCCAGAAATTTCTACTCCCTCCTATATTAGACATAATGAATCATCTGCAAGATTTCATCCAGCAATTTCTACTCCCCCTGTACTAGTTGTAGTGAATTGTCTAGATCAACAGATTCCTTTGGTAAAAGAGGCTTAAAGTTGATGTGCCAACAACAGAATTTTTCTCCTGTAGTTCAGTGTTAGGCACTGTCTTTAAAAAGGGTCTTTAGACATAGTGAGCAATTCCACTAATTTTCCAATTTTTTTGGGGGGAGAGCATTAAGTTTTCAAGCAACCTGACATACAAATGACTTGAATACACCCTTTGTAATAACAGAAGCTGAAGTGTCAGCCTGCCAAAGAAAGTTAAATTGCTCAGTATTTCCACTTAAAATAATGATTGGAATGTAGAATATGTCCACTACAGACCAATGTTCTTCTGATGTCATCTGCATGATTAAAGAGAATTTAATTGAAAATGCCTTAATTTTTTTAAAATGTGCTCCAAAAAGCTATAAAATCTGCATTTCTCTGCAAGAACTGCACCTATATGAACTCCTCATCTTTGCAATTCCAGGATTTTCAGTGAGGGGGAAGGGACGTAAGAGCTGAACACCCATAGTGGCTGTTACTGTTGACTCTTTACCGTTTGATATAAAACACCATTTACTGAACACAGATGAAAACAAAGTTCATGTTTACTTAGGTAGGTGGATATTCTAGATGAACACTGGCAGCCATAAAAATATATCACTGATAGAAAACATGGGATGCTATATTTGAAGAAAAGACCGACTCACGGGGTTCTTTCCCAACTGAAATGTAAGCTCAATAAAATGCAGCAAAATTTTATGACTGTATCTCCAGAAAAGTCACTGCATGAACAAAACAGTCTGTCTAAAGCTGGAGGTCATGTCAAATCTCAGGAGTTCCCTTCGCTGCTGGGCAACTAAAGGAAACTTTGCACCATCTAAAGGTGAGGTAGTAGATGTCATTGAGAACTACCAATTCAATTGAAAATACTGTGATTTGTCTTTTCCTAGGCAATGAGCTCTTTATTCTGGTGTGAAAGATACCAAGAGTCAATAAAATACCAATGTATCCTCATCCTTGGGAGAACTTCTGCATAAGCTTTTCTGTGTACTAGTGACATGCTCAAAGGAGAGCATCTGCAAGTCCTTTTTGTCAGACAGACAAAAACATTTAAAGTAGGATGGTGAGCACAGAGGAAGGGCAGAGACATTTCTTTCCGATACTTAGTAAGGAATAATTGCAGATGAAGTACTGAAGACAAGTTCCAGCTCAGTTACATTTAGTTAACCTTTTCCTTCCAACAACCTCTTCCCCCTTTTCCTCCCAACAACCTCCTCCCCCTATGACTTTCCCAATGAACCTAACCATCTCTCATGTGGCTCTAACAATACGTTTGTGCTATACATGGAAGCCTTTCCAGCTACAGGCTGTGCTAAATAACTGTGCTTCATAAAGCTTCACTCTGCTCACCCCCTGCTTTTTTTTTCCTCCATTTTTGTTCAGCAGAAACTCAAACCAGGCCCTTGCAAGGCTGAAAACTAGCTGTTTATTCTTCCTCTCAGTTTCCCATCCCTCAACAAGTTTTTTCCGTGACAGAACCCTATGTTCTTCACAGCATGCCATTCGGCATCCACTTCTGACCGACTGTCAAAATATTTGCTTTGACAACCCAAATTCAAAATACACAATGATTCTTTAACCCTTTTGGTAGTAACTCATTCAAAGTAATTCTCGCTGAAGAAGGAGATTACAAGAAGTAGCCCCACCTCATAGTCATTTGGGCCTCTCCCTACTTTTATTACTGCATTCAGTCACACTGGTGTGGAAGGAGGCCATTCATGCTGGGAAACAGCCCTGCACAGTAAGTGCCCACATGAGCCACACACCACAGCAGCACGAGGGTCTTGGCAGTGCCATTCTGGCCCACCACATAACCCACATTCCTTGTCTGGACAGCACAGCTCCTTGGATGGGTCAAACTAAACCTTCAGCCTCATTTACGTTGGCTACCAGAACCATGCTCTGCATTAAGTGAAGTCTAACACAGTGAAAAAATGTCAATGAGAACATCAGATCCTCAAAGTATCCCAACAGAATAAGAGTTCTCAAAAGCAAAATTCTTTTGGTTATTTTAATCTAACAAATCAATCCAACTTAAAACATTGCTAAAACTTTCTTTCTCTTCAGATTCCATTTTGACAACCAGATGCACTGCCTCCAGTCATACTTTCACATCTCTAGCTAGGACTATTCAACTGTTGCCTTTTAGTATACAATATGTCTATGTTCAAAGTATATAAAAAACATATATTTTTCTGAATGAGATAAAGAAACAAAATTGCCTCATTTTACTTACACTGCCAAAACCAGAAAGTGAGAAGCTTATCCAAATTAAGATATTTGAATTAAAGTTTTGATTTTGAAGATGTTGAGCTGCACAGTTTTGCTTTGGCATACCAAGCAGACAGAAAGGAACAGCTGCAAAGTACAAATCTGAGGCTATTTATTTTAAAAAGGTGTCCAACAAGTAGCATACAAGAAAACCACCAGTACCTTGCAGAACAATATTGTGGCCAGTCCTTCATGCTCCTCCTATGATTTAACTGAAGTCCAAGGCTTGGACTACAATTCAGCTTTTGCCCTTTTCAGTCTCGTTCTGTCAGCTCAAGAGTGAGAATAAATAATTTTTAGATAAAATGCTTTCGGCTTGGCTTAAGCAAACAGCTGAATGGAAGGCCACACAGACTGCTGAAGCCACCCCAGTTTATAAAATAAATCCAAGCGCAGTTAGACATTTTCTTCTGAAGTTTGTTGGGGTCCAAAGTACAACTACATAGAGGAATTTCTCAATTTTGTTTACCATGCACAAACTTGAGCATCTCATAATGCAAAATGTGCAAATCTTGGAAGCCTGGGCTCTGCTTTCTCTGAAATGTTTTTCATTAGCAGTTATAAACTCTCTGAATACGCTTTGAACTACGAGAGTGGAAGTGGCTCCTGTTTGTGTTGATGGTTACTGACTATTTAAAACAAACAGAAAGAAGCTCACACACTAAGACTCAATTACCTCAAGCTGACCCCCACCCAGGCTGACATGAGCTCCCACTTTAAAAAGCTTCCATCCTTAGGTGTTATTGGACAAGCAAATTGTTCAATTGCGAGCTCACCCTGCCTGGTGGAGTGAGACAGCCATCAAACCACCAAGGTAAGAGGGATTGCACTTAAGACAATGTGGTATGAGCACTAGAAATTGTTCATTTTCTGGATAAGTGATAAATGTTCGTAAATAAACTTTTTCTCCCACTCAGTCCTCTCTTACAACCATTCTTACAAGAACTGCTGTTCAGAAGGAACAGGCAGGCTTCTGCCAACTTCCCTGCAGTCCTCAAAGGAGCAGACCAGACAACAAGCAGCATTTGTGAGGAGACAGAAAGGTGCACCTCTGCATTTCTACCCCACACACTTAGAGGTGACTTGCAAATGGAAAAAGAAGTACATTAATCACACTCCCCTGTCACAAGAGAACGGCGACAAGGATTATTACTTTGGGAAAGACCAGTTGTCCCAAATGGTTTGGTGCAGGCTC